TAGTCAATTCGACTAGAATTGATCGATTATAGTCTGTTTGACTAGAATTGAACTTATTTTAGTTACATCGACTAGAATTGAATCGATTCTAGTCAGAAGTACTTGATATGTTCTAAACAACAGGAGTAGAATTGTTTTGATTGTGATTACCGATTAGAATTAGAATAATTTTAGATCGATTTTGTTAATTTCGGCCAGAGTTGGATTGATTGATTCAAATTACTTCGACTAGAATTTGGTCGATTTTAGTTATTTCCACTAAAATTGGAAAGAGATGTAGCAAATTTGACTAGAATTAGATCTACTCTGATTTTAGTTATATTGCCTAGAATTGGAGCGATTTTAATCAATTCTAGATTCTAGTCAATTAATTTTGGAATTAGATCAATTCGACTAGTGTTGAATCGATTTTGGTAAGTTCCCCAGAAATTAATTTATTCTCTGGAATCGATTTTATTCGATTCTACTAGTATTTTATGGATTCCGGTCAACTTGAATGGAATTGATCCTATTTATAAGTTGAATCGATTGAATCGATTCTAGTCAGTTTGACTGGATTTTGATCGGTTGTAGTTACTTCGACTAGAGTTGGTTCGATTTTAATCATAACTAAATCAATGATATCTCATTTGACTAGAATTGGATCTATTCCTCGATCGACTACAATCATAGAATTAAAAAGTTGTAACATTATAAAGTAATAAAGTTATAAAGTTATAAAGTTATAAAGTTATAAAGTTATAAAGTTATAAAGTTATAAAGTTATAAAGTTATAAAGTTATAAAGTTATAAAGTTATAAAGTTATAAAGTTATAAAGATATAAAGTTATAAATTAATAAAGTTATAAAGTTATAAAGTTATAATGTTATAAAGTTATAAAGTTATAAAACTGAAGAGTTCCGTTCCAAAAAAAAACACCCTTAATTATTATCTGTAGCTTACAATTACAATTTGTACCGCTAACGAAAAGCGACAATCAAAAATCTTTTAAATATTCGAATTAAAAAATCCAGTTCATTAAAACATTAATTTGAAAAATTTTACACAAATGATCGAAGACATCAATTAAAGTACTTGTCACGTCAACTTCGTACCTTTTTTGACAAAAGTTGCTTTACTTAAAAGTACCTTTATTTAGCTAATTTCGTACCGTTTATATTATTTTATACTTGCTGATACCTAAGTGTGGACAATTAAATGCTATATACTTCATAAATTTACACATGTTTTAACTATGTAGTTGTAGTACTAATTTATAAAAATAAATATATATTTTATTCCTGTACTTGTTGTTTCTTTTCTTTATCGTCGTTCATTCGTAATGAAGATGAATCCAATGTGAAGGGGGATGAAAGAAACTAAAATAACATGAATGGAGTATATTGTACATTGAAATGTAATTAGAGAAATTGGAGTAAAATAAATTTTCTTCTATACTAACACAGAGTAGCTGAGTAAATACACATACCAACACACACATAGAAATGAACATGAAGAATTTACAATATTTGTAGAGAAATTAAGGCCGGTACTACAACTGGTAAGAGTAGTATATTATAAAGTAGTTTAAACATACAGCTGACATACTTACATACCTTAAAGTACATATATTATAAACGAAGATGTCGGTATTGTTTTGAAAATTCCTATAAAATATTTGAAAAATCTCCTTTATATGAAAAAAATATCTTCAACAGAAAACTAATAATTCCAGAAAGATTTTGCACTATTTAAGTAATTGTTTTTTTAGATTCCTCTAAAATCCCAGTTAAATCTTAGTTTTCTAAAGAATGGCAACCCTATCTTTATATAGCAATGTTCTACAACAACATATGTTTTCAAATTTCTAAATGTGTTAAATAAAGTGGACTAAATATTTAAGTACCAACACAACGTATGAGTGATATGAATAGAATTAAATAGAAAATTTTCGCTTTTCTTTACTTAATTACATATAGAAATTGCAGTTTTCTTTTTTTCCAAAAATCTTCTCTTTTCAGGGTCAATTTTAATACTTTTGCAATTTATTTTTATTTATTTGAAAAGTGTGCAATAATATACTTAGTTCATAATATTGCTTTAGTTTTTGAATTTGTATGTGTATTTAGTTTTAATTTAAGTTAATTATCTAAAGTTTTCTAGTTTTGTTTTAATTTTAAAATAGTAAACAGTAATTGTTAATGGACATTAAAAAAGCTAAATAGTTTTACTTTTAACAAATCCTTATTATTTATATGCATTTTATACTAAGACGGATTGTTTTCTAATTCAATGGTATTTAGTAATGCAGTAGGTATAACTATAATGCATTATTGGTAAATTTATTCAAAATATCAAAATCGTTTGTATCGAATAACTTTGGAGGATTCTAGTCAGATAGTCTAGTCTATAGTCTAGTCTATAGTCTAGTCTATAGTCTAGATTATAGTCTAGTCTATAGTCTAGTCTATAGTGTAGATTATAGTCTAGTCTATAGTCTAGTCTATAGTCTAGTTATAGTCTAGTCTATAGTCTAGTCTATAGTCTAGTCTATAGTCTAGTCTATAGTCTAGTCTATAGTCTAGTCTATAGTCTAGTCTATAGTCTAGTCTATAGTCTAGTCTATAGTCTAGTCTATAGTCTAGTCTATAGTCTAGTCTATAGTCGAGTCTATAGTCTAGTCTATAGTCTAGTCTATAGTCTAGTCTAGTCTAGTCTATAGTCTAGTCTATAGTCTAGTCTATAGTCGAGTCTATAGTCTAGTCTATAGTCTAGTCTATAGTCTAGTCTATAGTCTAGTCTATAGTCTAGTCTATAGTCTAGTCTATAGTCTAGTCTATAGTCTAGTCTATAGTCTAGTCTATAGTCTAGTCTATAGTCTAGTCTATAGTCTAGTCTATAGTCTAGTCTATAGTCTAGTCTATAGTCTAGTCTATAGTCTAGTCTATAGTCTAGTCTATAGTCTAGTCTATATTCTAGTCTATAGTCTAGTCTATAGTCTAGTCTATAGTCTAGTCTATAGTCTAGTCTATAGTCTAGTCTATAGTCTAGTCTATAGTCTAGTCTATAGTCTAGTCTATAGTCTAGTCTATAGTCTAGTCTATAGTCTGGTCTATAGTCTAGTCTATAGTCTAGTCTATAGTCTAGTCTATAGTCTAGTCTATAGTCTAGTCTATAGTCTAGTCTATAGTCTAGTCTATAGTCTAGTCTATAGTCTAGTCTAGTCTAGTCTATTTTAGTTCTAGTCTATAGTCTAGTCTCTATAGTCTAGTCTATAGTCTAGTCTATAGTCTAGGTTCTATAGTCTAGTCTATAGTCTAGTCTATAGTCTAGTCTATAGTCTAGTCTATAGTCTAGTCTATAGTCTAGTCTATAGTCTAGTCTTTAATGTCTAGTCTATAGTTCTAGTCTATAGTCTAGGTCTATAGTCTAGTCTATAGTCTAGTCTATAGTCTAGTCTATAGTCTAGTCTATAGTCTAGTCTATAGTCTAGTCTATAGTCTAGTCTATAGTCAGTCTATAGTCTAGTCTATAGTCTAGTCTATAGTCTAGTCTATAGTCTAGTCTATAGTCTAGTCTATAGTCTAGTCTATAGTCTAGTCTATAGTCTAGTCTCTAGTCTAGTCTATAGTCTAGTCTATAGTCTAGTCTATAGTCTAGTCTATAGTCTAGTCTATAGTCTAGTCTATAGTCTAGTCTATAGTCTAGTCTATAGTCTAGTCTATAGTCTAGTCTAAGTTAGTCTATAGTCTAGTCTATAGTCTAGTCTATAGTCTAGTCTATAGTCTAGTCTATAGTCTAGTCTATAGTCTAGTCTATAGTCTAGTCTATAGTCTAGTCTATAGTCTAGTCTATAGTATAGTCTATAGTCTAGTCTATAGTCTAGTCTATAGTCTAGTCTATAGTCTAGTCTATAGTCTAGTCTATAGTCTAGTCTATAGTCTAGTCTATAGTCTAGTCTATAGTCTAATCTAAAGTCTAGTCTATAGTCTAATCTAAAGTCTAGTCTATAGTCTAGTCTATAGTCTAGTCTATAGTCTAGTCTATAGTCTAGTCTATAGTCTAGTCTATAGTCTAGTCTAGTCTATAGTCTAGTCTATAGTCTAGTCTATAGTCTAGTCTATAGTCTAGTCTATAGTCTAGTCTATAGTCTAGTCTATAGTCTAGTCTATAGTCTAGTCTATAGTCTAGTCTATAGTCTAGTCTATAGTCTTGTCTATAGTCTAGTCTATAGTCTAGTCTATAGTCTAGTCTATAGTCTAGTCTATAGTCTAGTCTATAGTCTAGTCTATAGTCTAGTCTATAGTCTAGTCTATAGTCTAGTCTATAGTCTAGTCTATAGTCTAGTCTATAGTCTAGTCTATAGTCTAGTCTATAGTCTAGTCTATAGTCTTTAGTCTATAGTCTAGTCTATAGTCTTAGTCTATAGTCTAGTCTATAGTCTTTAGTCTATAGTCTAGTCTATAGTCTTTAGTCTATATTCTAGTTTATTCTCGTCTATAGTCTATATTCTAATCTATAGTATAATTTATAGTCTAGTCTATAGTGTAGTCCTAGACGCCTTCTTGAGAAAGTCATTATCATGTTTTTGCTCATTGTGAACACTTTTTCTTTTAACTTATGATATCAATATAGCTTTTTATAATCCACAGAACTGTTAATATTTTAAACACATTAAAGGGGTATTTTGTCTCGAAACTGTTTACCACAGCTCTTAAAAGCTTTAAGGAGAAGTGCAACCCCTTTTAGAAAACAAACTTGTGTGTCATAAAATGAAAAACTTTCTAGCTATAGAATAAGTACTATAAAATAATGTTTTGCCCAAACAGCAGTGAACAGTTTGAAAATAACTGGAGGAATTTATTACAGCTGAATATAGTTGCTATAATATTTGTGGATAAATTATTATATCAATTCTATTACAATTATTTTTTATAAATATTATAGGAAATTATTTTTTATTATTTTAATAATAATTTTTATTTATGTAAAATTTAAAATATTTTTGATTATGTGAAAAGCTTTTTGGTCGGTTATGTTAGCAAGAGACATATCAAATTAGATTCCAAAGGACTGTAGTATATATAATATTGCAACATGGTGAAACATGAATAGCATGAGCAGCACCATCTTATAGTCGAGTATATAGTCTACTATTTATATAGTCGAGTCTATAATATAGCCTATGGTGTAGCCTTTTGTGTAGTCGATGGTCTACTCAATTTGGCTTTGCTTGATTAAATCATTGAAAACACGTAAAAGTTTAAATTTTAAATTACATTTTAATAGCCTATAATCTAGTGTATAGTCTAAAGGCACTTATCAATTCTTAAAACTATATAAGCATAAAAACCGTAGCACGTTAACGCTTCTTCATTTTGATTTGTATTCCATTACCACTTTTCATAACCAATTCGGCCAATGGTTGTGGTTTAAAATCTTTGACGGGTAAGAATTCAAAATTACGCAAAAGATACGACAAAGAACATTTCAATTCCAACATGGCGAATTTTTGACCAATACAATTACGGGGACCTGCACTAAAGGCTACAAAACTAAAGGGATGTAAATTTGTTTCCTTCGACAAGAAACGTAAGGGATCAAATTTTTCTGGATCGGGAAAGTTTTTCTCATCACGATGCACCATATAAGTTAAAATACTAATACTAGCTCCCTTAGGCACAATAAGCGAACCAACATTAAGATCTTCTTTAATACAGCGAGAATAGAAAGGTACTGAGGGATAAAGACGTAATGTTTCTTTAATTACCGCCTCCAAATAAGGCATGGCTTCCTTCTCGTGACCCTCAAGAGCTACTGCTTCTTCGTAGGCTTGTTGTTGGACATCAGCATGTTGTGAAAGTAAATATATGGCAAATCCTATGGCTGAGCTGGTAGTATCATGACCCTCAAACATAAAGGTATCAACTTCTTCACGTATTTCACGATCACTAAGAGGTACACCCTCCATTGAGAAATCAGCAGCATATCAAGGAAAGCTAAACGTCTTTTTTGTCCTTCAATATTATCGGCCTTTTGGGCATCATTCATATTGTGTATTTGAGAATCTTCTAAAGTTTACGTCTTAATTTAATAACACGATTTGTTTCGTTATGTAAAATTTTAAGAGCAGCATCTCTTTCCCGACCAGGTTTGGTAAATTTAAAGAATATATTCATTCGCTGCCAAAAGGAAAAGGATTTTTTGTGTAAAATGTGACACATTCTAAAATGAAAAACAAATATTTAAAATTGAGATAAATATCTTCTTCCTGCTTTCCTACTCACTTCTGAACCGCCTTTACATACTCCGATTCACTTTGCATTTGTGCATGTTTCTTAATGCCCATGGCCGTTTCACAAATGGCATCCAGGGCAATAGTGTTATATAAGGATATATATCAATTGCTCTCCGTTTGCCTTCTCTCTCAATTTGCCCACCAATATTTTACAATTCTCTTCCATGGGTTCTTTAAATTCACTTAAAATACGAAAATGGAATGCTGGAGTTAATAATTTTCTACGTGTATGCCAGGATTCGCCGCCATTAGTTAAGAGGCCCTTGCCCAACCAAGGACTCAAAATATTATAGTTCTCTGATTTGTGTAGCAGGGTATTGTTGCTCAGCAACTGTTTGACGTCTTCGGGATCGGTGAAAAAAATCATTAAGTCTTTGCCCAGCCAGAGGCGAAAAGTAGGACCATATTTTTGGCGTAATTCAATGAACCAATTGAGGATTTCTGAAAATAAAGGCAAAGATGTCTAGTATATAGTCTAGTCTATCACACAGTTTATATTTTAGTTCATATTCTAGGTTATATTTTAGACTATAGTTAGTTTTGTCAACAGTTAGTCCAGAGTCTAGTCTATAGTCTAGTCTATAGTCTAGTCTATAGTCTAGTCTATAGTCTAGTCTATAGTCTAGTCTATAGTCTAGTCTATAGTGTAGTCTATAGTCTAGTCTATAGTCTAGTCTATAGTCTAGTCTATAGTCTAGTCTATAGTCTAGTCTATAGTCTAGTCTATAGTCTAGTCTATAGTCTAGTCTATAGTCTAGTCTATAGTCTAGTCTATAGTCTAGTCTATAGTCTAGTCTATAGTCTAGTCTATAGTCTAGTCTATAGTCTAGTCTATAGTCCTAGTCTATAGTCTAGTCTATAGTCTAGTCTATAGTCTAGTCTATAGTCTAGTCTATAGTCTAGTCTATAGTCTATTCTATAGTCTAGTCTATAGTCTATTCTATAGTCTATTCTATAGTCTATAGTCTAGTCTATAGTCTAGTCTATAGTCTAGTCTATAGTCTATGTCTATAGTCTAGTCTATAGTCTAGTCTATAGTCTAGTCTATAGTCTAGTCTATAGTCTAGTCTATAGTCTAGTCTATAGTCTAGTCTATAGTCTAGTCTATAGTCTAGTCTATAGTCTAGTCTATAGTCTAGTCTATAGTCTAGTCTATAGCCTAGTCTAGTCTAGTCTATAGTCTAGTCTATAGTCTAGTCTATAGTCTAGTCTATAGTTGAGTCTATAGTCTAGTCTATAGTCTAGTCTATAGTCTAGTCTATAGTCTAGTCTATAGTCTAGTCTATAGTCTAGTCTATAGTCTAGTCTATAGTCTAGTCTATAGTCTAGTCTACAGTCTAGTCTATAGTCTAGTCTATAGTCTAGTCTATAGTCTAGTCTATAGTCTAGTCTATAGTCTAGTATATAGTCTAGTCTATAGTCTAGTCTATAGTCTAGCCTATAGTCTAGCCTATAGTCTAGTCTATAGTCTAGTCTATAGTCTAGTCTATAGTCTAGTCTATAGTCTAGTCTATAGTCTAGTCTAGTCTCTAGTAGTCTAGTCTATAGTCCAGTCTATAGTCTAGTCTATAGTCTAGTATATAGTCTAGTCTATAGTCTAGTCTATAGTCTAGTCTATAGTCTAGTCTATAGTCTAGTCTATAGTCTAGTCTAGTCTAGTCTATAGTCTAGTCTATAGTCTAGTCTATAGTCTAGTCTAGTCTAGTCTATAGTCTAGTCTAGTCTAGTCTAGTCTAGTCTAGTCTAGTCTAGTCTAGTCTATAGTCTAGTCTAGTCTATAGTCTAGTCTAGTCTAGTCTATAGTCTATAGTCTATAGTCTATAGTCTATAGTCTATAGTCTAGTCTAGTCTAGTCTATAGTCTAGTCTATAGTCTAGTCTAGTCTATAGTCTAGTCTATAGTCTAGTCTATAGTCTAGTCTATAGTCTAGTCTATAATCTATTCTATAGTCTAGTCTATAGTCTAGTCTATAGTCTAGTCTATAATCTATTCTATAGTCTAGTCTATAGTCTAGTCTATAGTCTAGTCTAGTCTATAGTCTAGTCTATAGTCTAGTCTATAGTCTAGTCTATAGTCTAGTCTATAGTCTAGTCTATAGTCTAGTCTATAGTCTAGTCTATAGTCTAGTCTATAGTCTAGTCTATAGTCTAGTCTATAGTCTAGTCTATAGTCTAGTCTATAGTCTAATCTATAGTCTAGTCTATAGTCTAGTCTATAGTCTAGTCTATAGTCTAGTCTATAGTCTAGTCTATAGTCTAGTCTATAGTCTAGTCTATAGTCTAGTCTATAGTCTAGTCTATAGTCTAGTCTATAGTCTAGTCTATAGTCTAGTCTATAGTCTAGTCTATAGTCTAGTCTATAGTCTAGTCTATAGTCTAGTCTATAGTCTAGTCTATAGTCTAGTCTATAGTCTAGTCTATAGTCTAGTCTATAGTCTAGTCTATAGTCTAGTCTAGTCTAGTCTATAGTCTAGTCTATAGTCTAGTCTATAGTCTAGTCTATAGTCTAGTCTATAGTCTAGTCTATAGTCTAGTCTATAGTCTAGTCTATAGTCTAGTCTATAGTCTAGTCTATAGTCTAGTCTAGTCTAGTCTATAGTCTAGTCTATAGTCTAGTCTATAGACTATAGTCTAGTCTATAGTCTAGTCTATAGTCTAGTCTATAGTCTAGTCTATAGTCTAGTCTATAGTCTAGTCTATAGTCTAATCTATAGTCTAGTCTATAGTCTAGTCTATAGTCTAGTCTATAGTCTAGTCTATAGTCTAGTCTATAGTCTAGTCTATAATCTCTATAGTCTAGTCTATAGTCTAGTCTATAGTCTAGTCTATAGTCTAGTCTATAGTCTAGTCTATAGTCTAATCTATAGTCTAATCTATAGTCTAGTCTATAGTCTAGTCTATAGTCTAGTATAGTCTAGTCTATAGTCTAGTCTATAGTCTAGTCTATAGTCTAGTCTATAGTCTAGTCTATAGTCTAGTCTATAGTCTAGTCTATAGTCTAGTCTATAGTCTAGTCTATAGTCTAGTCTATAGTCTATAGTCTAGTCTATCGTCTAGTCTATAGTCTAGTCTATAGTCTAGTCTATAGTCTAGTCTATAGTCTAGTCTATAGTCTAGTCTATAGTCTAGTCTAGTCTAGTCTATAGTCTGTCTATAGTCTAGTCTATAGTCTAGTCTATAGTCTAGTCTATAGTCTAGTCTATAGTCTAGTCTATAGTCTAGTCTATAGTCTAGTCTTAGTCTAGTCTATAGTCTAGTCTATAGTCTAGTCTATGTCTAGTCTATAGTCTAGTCTATAGTCTAGTCTATGTCTAGTCGATAGTCTAGTCTATAGTCTAGTCTATAGTCTCTAGTCTAGTCTAGTCTAGTCTATAGTCTAGTCTATAGTCTAGTCTATAGTCTAGTCTATAGTCTAGTCTATAGTCTAGTCTATAGTCTAGTCTATAGTCTAGTCCTATAGTCTAGTCTATAGTCTAGTCTATAGTCTAGTCTATAGTCTAGTCTATAGTCTAGTCTATAGTCTAGTCTATAGTCTAGTCTATAGTCTAGTCTATAGTCTAGTCTATAGTCTAGTCTATATCTAGTCTAGTCTATATAGTCTAGTCTATAGTCTAGTCTATAGTCTATAGTCTCGGTCTATAGTCTAGTCTATAGTCTAGTCTATAGTCTAGTCTATAGTCTAGTCTATAGTTAGTCTATAGTCTAGTCTATAGTCTAGTCTATAGTCTAGTATATAGTCTAGTCTATAGTCTAGTCTATAGTCTAGTCTATAGTCTAGTCTAGTCTAGTATAGTCTAGTCTAGTCTATAGTCTAGTCTATAGTCAGTCTAGTCTAGTCTAGTCTAGTCTATAGTCTAGTCTATAGTCTAGTCTATAGTCTAGTCTATAGTCTAGTCTATAGTCTAGTCTATAGTCTAGTCTATAGTCTAGTCTATAGTCTAGTCTATAGTCTAGTCTATAGTCTAGTCTATAGTCTAGTCTGTAGTCTAAAGCGCTAAAATAGCAACACAGATGATTAAGTAGTAAACATATATAATTATGAATAGTATTATTTTGATTCTATGTAGACTGTTAAATTTTAACTATGAAAACTTTGAATTAAACTGGGTTACAAAGTCCACAAATTTATTTTGTTGTTCTTTGGCGAACCTTTTGCTTTATAAGTAAGAATACTTGAATAGTATTACTACAACCTACCTCCTTTTTTGGCATTTTCAATTAATTCACCAATCGTTGGACCCGGTACGTTTTCCGACCATTTTTTCATTTTAATAAATTCAATAATTTTTGGTAAATAACGCATAAATACAGCCCATAAGGCAAAAGCTATTAAGGCCAAAGTATTCATTATTTGTAAATATTTTTTTAGTTTAAACTATTTCTAAGTTTGCAAGAAAAACAATACACACTGGACGCTAGCCAGTAAGTTACTAAAATTATATTATCATCTTCGTTTATGTTCTATGTTTTGAATTTGTTTTTTTTTTTTTGTATATACAAGTTTCATTACGCTCATTTAGTGTAATTGTTTATGAAGGCTTCTTTCTTTCTTTGTTGTTGGTATAAACAAAAATAACTAGTTTTATGGAAGAGTGCTGCATGATAATATGAATGCTAGAAGAGATCAGTGTAATAAATAATAGAGACTTATTTCAAGACCTGAAAACACTGGGAATAAATTCACTCTTTCTCAAATTATGTATTTTGAAACATAAAATCTTATTATAAACAGAATGAACATATAATTTTTAATATTAATCAAATTTAAATTTCTTAAAATAATTCTTAATTTAGAATTTTTAGCTCTTGAAATTTGACAACACTGATCTAATCGAAATACAATATTTATCATAAGAGAGATTATTTTTATATACATTTCTCTTTACTCTAGTATTTTATGAAAAAAGAGTTTAACCCAGTTTTTAAAACATTTTCTTATCAATTAAAATATTTTTTGAAATCTATTATTAAATGAAAACAATTAAAAAGTTATAGACTGCAAAATCCAATCATAAAATACCCTACATAAAGTTATAAATGGAAAGTTATGAGTTTATAAAGTTATAAAGTTATAAATTTATAAAGTTATAAAGTTATAGAGTTATAAAGTTATAAAGTTATAAAGTTATAAAGTTATAAAGTTATAAAGTTATAAAGTTATAAATTTATAAAGTTATAAAGTTATAAAGCTATAAAGTTATAAAGCTATAAAGTTATAAACTTATAAAGTTATAAAGTTATAAAGTTATAAGGTTATAATTTTATAAAGTTATAAAGTTAAACGTTATGAAAAAATTTTAAGGTTATAAAGTCATTGCTGAAGCGATTCATAAAGGCATTGGTTGATCTTTAGGCAGGGTATACGATTTTTTTTGACGACTTGCAAACGTTAGCACAAAACCATATTAAACACTAGAATAGTATAGGGTTTATCTATGTTCAAAGTCTCTTTTGTACGTCACTATTTGTTGTCATTTTCAATTCATGACATGAGCTTGCGTTTTTAACAACAAAGAAAAAAAAATAAAATCTCACAAAGTGCATTTTGTCGTTAAAAATTGATTTTTATTTTTTGTATGTATTGGAAATCTGAAAAAAAATGTTTCTAAAATAGAATTATCCTCCTAGGAATATGTATAAAAATATGAACGATTTGAGAATATTCGAATTATTAAACTCTTTTCGCTTCTTATAACAAAAGATGACTTTTTTATTTTTTTTATATAATAAATAAATAATATATAAATAAAGGATTTCTTAAAATTTTCATTAAATTTAACAATTTCTGAATTTATGACCGTTATTATTGATTATCTATTGTGATTGATGTCAATCATATATTCACAATTGCTAGTTATGTTATTAATTCCCTATGAATGGCAACCCCAAATAAAAAACAGTTTAATCGAGAGTAAAAAAATTGTAAACGTCAGTGAGCCAGAGAGAAAAACAAGAAAAGCAAAAAGAAGTCACCAGAGAACTGCGCCGACTAAGCTAAACCGCCGTTATAATATAATAACTTGGCTAGGTATATCTGGTGATTGCTTTAAATTTCAGTACTTTAGTCTATAGTGTAGTCTATAGTCTAGTCTATATAGTCTAGTCTATAGTCTAGTCTATAGTCTAGTCTAGTCTAGTCTATAGTCTAGTCTATAGTCTAGTCTATAGTCTAGTCTATAGTCTAGTCTATAGTCTAGTCTATAGTCTAGTCTATAGTCTAGTCTATAGTCTAGTCTATAGTCTAGTCCTATAGTCTAGTCTATAGTCTAGTCTATAGTCTAGTCTATAGTCTAGTCTATAGTCTAGTCTATAGTCTAGTCTATAGTCTAGTCTATAGTCTAGTCTATAGTCTAGTCTATAGTCTAGTCTATAGTCTAGTCTATAGTCTAGTCTATAGTCTAGTCTATAGTCTAGTCTATAGTCTAGTCTATAGTCTAGTCTATAGTCTAGTCTATAGTCTAGTCTATAGTCTAGTCTATAGTCTAGTCTATAGTCTAGTCTATAGTCTAGTCTATAGGTCTAGTCTATAGTCTAGTCTATAGTCTAGTCTATAGTCTAGTCTATAGTCTAGTCCTATAGTCTAGTCTATAGTCTAGTCTATAGTCTAGTCTATAGTCTAGTCTAGTCTATAGTCTAGTCTATAGTCTAGTCTATAGTCTAGTCTATAGTCTAGTCTATAGTCTAGTCTATAGTCTAGTCTATAGTCTAGTCTATAGTCTAGTCTATAGTCTAGTCTATAGTCTAGTCTATAGTCTAGTCTATAGTCTAGTCTATAGTCTAGTCTATAGTCTAGTCTATAGTCTAGTCTATAGTCTAGTCTATAGTCTAGTCTATAGTCTAGTCTATAGTCTAGTCTATAGTCTAGTCTATAGTCTAGTCTATAGTCTAGTCTATAGTCTAGTCTATAGTCTAGACTATAGTCTAGTCTATAGTCTAGTCTATAGTCTAGTCTATAGTCTAGTCTATAGTCTAGTCTATAGTCTAGTTCTATAGTCTAGTCTATAGTCTAGTCTATAGTCTAGTCTAGTCTAGTCTAGTCTATAGTCTAGTCTATAGTCAAGTCTAAAGTCTAGTCTATAGTCTAGTCTATAGTCTAGTCTATAGTCTAGTCTATAGTCTAGTCTATAGTCTAGTCTGTAGTCTAGTCTGTAGTCTAGTCTATGGTATAGTCTATAGTCTAGTCTAGTACAGGTCGCAATTTTCAAGATATTTTGGACCCAACGACGAAGCCTATTGAAATGGTTGAAATCGATCCATTATTTCACCTAGCCGCCATACAACCCTATCCCCCGGAAAGGGCTTTTGAGTTCATAATAGTCTTATATAAAGTCTCGACTATAGTCTTTTCTATAGTCTAATCTGCAATGTAGTCTGTAGTCTAATCTGTGTGTCTCGTCTAGCTTAAAATTAGTTTAGTACTCTAAAAACAAAAAAATTCTATTATTATTAGTACTATTCTAAAATTTAAATTTTCCATGCCTGTATTGAGTTCAAAAATCCCAATTTTATAAAAGAACCATCTAACGGTCACGTTTTTATTCATAATTTTTAATGTCAATGTAAAAAGTTGAAAACTTCGACGGCTTACAGCCTGTTCTAAGCCGCCGCCGTTAGTGTTTGACGGCGTAGGTCATTGAGAGACGTCACTGCACAAGCAATTGATTTTATTTTTAATGTAAAAAAAAGTTAAAATTTAGTGATATAAATTTATTAAAAAGTTGAGCAAATAACAAATAACTTTAGACAAAAAACAAATAATTGATTTATAAAGAAACTAAAACACAAGAAGAAAAAAACATGGCTGATAAACCACCAACAACAGCAATGCCAGCAGCCAGTGAACCATTTCCAGGTAAGAAAATTAAATTTTTTTCTTTCTGCATACAGCAAGAAAAAATAAAAGGGAAGTGAGTAACAATGTTTTGGTGTAAGGCGAAAGAAAATTCAATGTCAGTTTTACAAAAGTAAAAGTTTTTCTCACTTTCAAGGTTCCCGCACACCCGGCTGGAATGATCCACCCACATTGGCCTATAATCCGCTGTCGGCCTCCTCGGGCGGTGGCCCTGGACGGCCACGTATTAATCTCAATAAAAGAGTAGCTTATCCTTTGCAAGGTACCGTTACGCCCACGGCTAGCTTAACAAAACCCACAGCGGTGGTGCTACCAAATCAAGCTAGTGCTGGTCTGCCACCACCACCACCACCCACAACGGCATCTATAATGCAACCCGTGGCTGTAGTACATCCCATGCCACACAATGCTAGTGAACAGGAAAATATAACTCTACCCACAGATGCTGTCAGCAGCAGCTTTCGTTGCCTAAGGGAGCGAGTTCCTTTGGTGCAAGAATCCATAAATGTACGCCGTGAGGAGATTGAAAGGCGCTTGGGTGTTATAGAACAACTTTGGCAAACGGGTAATTTGAGTGCGGCAGTGCAACAAAAAATCTATCGTTTAAGTCAGGCCGTTTCAAGACGTTCTTACAATGAGGCCATGGAAATCTATACATCGCTAGTAGCAAATCATGCCAATGAATGTACTTCCTGGGCTGTAACACTACGACATATTGTCTTGACAATACCGAATAATAATTCGGCATCCGCTAGCGGCCATGAGTTCATGATCAATGCCGCTAATAGCACGCCTCTGCCGGCTGTTAATCATGCTACAGGAAGCTCAAATTTAGTTACTGCTGTACCCACCATGACTGTTACCGCTATGCCACGTTCCTCAACGGAAGAAAACCCTTTATCCTCCTCCGCCAACTCGACTTCAGCTCCCGCCATCTCTAGAGTTCAGCATATATGATAAACATTTTAAAAACTATCCCAAACACAGTAATATTTTAGCAATAAAAACACACTTTCCAAGCCAATTTGAAATTTTAACATTTTGAACACGCATTTAAAAGTTTTAAACTTTTGTTCCTCTTAATTTGTGGCTATTTTAAATCAACCCCCTCCATTTTTTCATTAATAAATCTTTTTCTCAAAATATTTCTCTTTAAAAAGGAAATACATAATAAAAAAACAGAATTTTACTAAAATAATTTCTGCTTTTAACATAAACAAATTATTAAAGGTTCATAACAAACCTTTGTAAATTTTAGACTATTATTGCTCATTTGCAACTATTCCCCGCCCGGCTCTTCCTAAGTTTTATTTTCTTTATGTATCATAGTATTTTTTAGCTCTTTTTTTATTCATATTTTTAGCAATTCTTGCAATATAGTTTTTCTTTTTTTGCTATTTACTTTTACCAACTCTCAACTTTAGTTTTTAATTTATTGAATTTGTGTCTTTTTTTAGGTAAAAAAAGGCTAAACAAAAAAAAAAATATCTAAAAATCTTAGTTAAGCTTGAATTCCAACAAATAAAATCTAACAAAAATTACTTAAGAATTATTAATTTTTCATTTCAACTGAAAAATCTACTTTTTAATTGTCTAACAAGAAAAAAATAAGATGCAAAACAAACAAAAAGTTTGAAAGAAAATAATAATAAAAAAAGATGTGAAAAATTAAAAGAGCGAATGTTTTAATAAATTTTTTAGTTTTAAGAAAATATGTTGCATTTTTAAATAAAAATGTTACTTTGAAAACTTCAATTTTAAATTTTTCATTACAAAACATTTTCTATAAATTTTTGTTTTAAAAAAATTGCTATGAAAATGTTTCTATAAAAATTAAGATTTTGAAAAATTTGAAAAAAATTTGATTTCGGAAAATTTTCTATATAAAATTTCGAAAAACATTTTTTAAAAAATTTTCTATAATAAATTGTAGATTTTCAAAAATGTTCTATAAATTGTTGCATTCGAAAAACTTCTCTAAAGAAAACTTTATGTCGAAAAGTTTTCTAACGAAAACTCTTCATATCGAAAAGTTTTCTAAAGAAAAATCTTTATATCGAAAAGTTTTCTAAAGAAAACTCTTCATATCGAAAAGTTTTCTAAAGAAAACTCTTCATATCGAAAAGTTTTCTAAAGAAAACTCTTCATATCGAAAAGTTTTCTAAAGAAAACTCTTCATATCGAAAAGTTTTCTAAAGAAAACTCTTCATATCGAAAAGTTTTCTAAAGAAAACTCTTCATATCGAAAAGTTTTCTAAAGAAAACTCTTCATATCGAAAAGTTTTCTAAAGAAAACTCTTCATATCAAAAAGTTTTCTAAAGAAAACTCTTCATATTGAAAAGTTTTCTAAAAAAAACTCTTCATATTGAAAAGTTTTCTAAAGAAAACTCTTCATATTGAAAAGTTTTCTAAAGAAAACTCTTCATATTGAAAAGTTTTCTAAAGAAAACTCTTTATATTGAAAAATTTTCTAAAGAAAACTTTTCATATTGAAAAGTTTTCTAAAGAAAACTCTTCATATCGAAAAGTTTTCTAAAGAAAACTCTTCATATCGAAAAGTTTTCTAAAGAAAACTCTTCATATCGAAAAGTTTTCTAAAGAAAACTCTTCATATCGAAAAGTTTTCTAAAGAAAACTCTTCATATCGAAAAGTTTTCTAAAGAAAACTCTTCATATCGAAAAGTTATCTAAAGAAAACTCTTTATATCGAAAAGTTTTATAAAGAAAACTCTTCATGTCGAAAATTTTTCTAAAGAAAACTCTTCATGTCGAAAAGTTTTCTAAAGAAAACTTTTCATATCGAAAACTTTTCTAATGAAAACTCCACTTACCGAAAACTTTTCTATAGGAAACTCTTCATATCGAAAGCGTTTCTATAGAAAACTCTTCACATCGAAAACTTTTCTATAGAAAATTCTTCATATCGAAAACTTTTTTATAGAAAACTCTTCATATCGAAAACTTTTTTATAGAAAACTCTTCATATCGAAAACTTTTCTATAGAAAACTGAAAATGAAAATTTTTCGAAATTAAAAGTTTATATCGAAAACTTTACTATGAAAAAACTTTCACTTTCACTTTCACTGTCATATATCCTTCCAGAAATCGGCAATTTATTCCAAAATTTTTAAAGAAAAATTATCACTTTATTATTACATTAATTACAAACTTTAACACATTATAAATTCCATTACAAGACACATTTCATCAACAAGATTAATCCTTTAGATCAAATCAAATTTCTCCTCTACCAAGGCAATTGTTCACCATTATATTGATAAAAACCACCATTATGTTTTGCGCCAAATTTCATTACAGTCTCTACAATTTCCGCTGTAGTTGGCTCTACATCCAACGGGGCATTTGAACCACCCATATCGGTACGCACCCAACCGGGATGCAATGCTACACACAATATTTTATTGGCATACAAATCAATACTCAAGGATTTAGTGGCAGCATTAAGAGCCGATTTAGAAGTGCGATAAGCATAGAGGCCACCTTCCATGTTCGACTCAATTGAGCCCAAAACAGAACTCATATTTATAATGGCGGCACGATTAACACTGAAATCTAAATTCTCTTGAGCCTTTGAGGCTTTTTTCAATAAAGGCAAACAGGCTTTTGCCAACATAATGGGTACCACAGTATTCGTTTCGAAAGTATTCATTAAATCCTCCACTTTGGTAAGGTTGATTCTGGTGGAACGGGGTGAAATGCCAGCATTGTTGAAGAGTACATTGAGACCTTTGTCCTGGGTAACGTCTTCGATTTGTTTGATCAAATTGTCGTAAGAATTATAGTTGCGTAAATCTAGGGGAGAAGGAAAATTAGTTAAAGTTCTTAAAATATTTTCTCTTAAGATGAGCTTTAAGGATTACATACCAATTTCCACAATATGAATATTTGGGTTTTGAGAAGCCAATTCTTGGAGTTCCTAAAATTAAATAAAAATAGAGGTGGTTTTCTTTAAAAAATTTTCTCTAAAAAGTTTCCGACATGTGTTCCGAAAAGTTTTCTATAGAAAAGTTTTCGATATGAAAAGTTTTCTCTAAAAAGTTTTCGATATAAACCGCTTAAAAGTTTTCTATAGAAAGGAGTTTCTATAGAAAAGTTTTTGATTTGAAAAGCTTTCTATTTCTTTTCAAATTGAAAAGTTTTCCATAGAAAACTTCTATAGAAAAGTTTTCTATAGAATATAAAAGTTTTTCTAATGAAAAGTTTTCTTTAGAATATAAAAAGTTGTCTATAGAAAAGTTTATTTTAGAAAAGCTTTCGATATGAATAGTTTTCTATAAAAAAGCTTAGGTTTTGTAAAGAAAAATTTTCATAACGAAAACTTTTCTATACAAAACCTTTTATATCGAAAGATTTTCTATAGAAAACATTTTTTATAGAAAGCATTTCTATAGAAACCTTTTTTATGGAAAACTTTTCTATAGAAAATCTTTTATAACAAAAGCTTTTCTATAGAAAACTTTCGATAAAAAAGATTTCGTTATAAAAGGTTTTCGTTATAAACGAGTTTCTATAGAAAAGTTTTCGCTATAAAAGGTTTTCTATAGAAAAGCTTTCGTTATAAAAGGTTTTCTATAGAAAAGCTTACTTTATAAAAGGTTTTTCTATAGAAAAGCTTACTTTATAAAAGGTTTTCTATAGAAAAGCTTACTTTATAAAAGGTTTTCTATAGAAAAGCTTACTTTATAAAAGGTTTTCTATAGAAAAGCTTACTTTATAAAAGGTTTTCTATAGAAAAGCTTTCGTTATAGAAGGTTTCCTATAGAAAAGCTTTCTTTATAGAAGGTTTCCTATAGAAAAGCTTACGTTATAGAAGGTTTTCTATAGAAAAGCTTTCGTTATAGAAGGTTTTCTATAGAAAAGCTTTCGTTATAGAAGGTTTTCTATAGAAAAGCTCTCATTATGAAAGGTTTTCTATAGAAAAGCTTTCATTATGAAAGGTTTTCTATAGAAAAGCTTTCATTATGAAAGGTTTTCTATAGAATAGCTTTCGTTATGGAAGGTTTTCTATCGAAGAGATTTCCTTATAAAAGACTTTCTATAGAAAAGTTATGAAAATATTTCTATAGAAAAGTTTTTGTTATGAAAAGTTGTCTTTAGAAAAGTTTCTGTTATGAAAAGTTTTCATTAGAAAAGCTTTCATTATGAAGAGTTTCCTTTAGAAAAGTTTTTGTTATGAAGAGTTTTCTTTAGAAAAGTTTTCGTTATAAAGAGTTTTCTTTATAAAAGTTTTAGTTATGAAGAGTTTTCTTTGGAAAAGTTTTTGTTATGAAGAGTTTTCTTCAGAAAAGTTTTCGTTATGAAGAGTTTTCTTCAGAAAAGTTTTCGTTATGAAGAGTTTTTTTTAGGAAAGTTTTTGTTATGAAAAGTTTTCGTTATTGAAAGTTTTCTTTAGAAAAGTTTTTTACAAAGTCTTTCGTTATGAAAAGTATTCTTAAGAAAAGCTTTCATTGTGAGAAATTTTCTTTATAAAAGCTTTCGTTATTAAAACTTTACTTTAGAAAAGCTTTAGTTATGAAGAGTGTTCTTTCGAAAAGCTTTCCTTAGAAAAGTTTTCGTTAGAAAAGTATTCTTTAAAAAAATTTTCGTTGTGAAAAGTTATCTTCGGATAGGGTTTCGTTTTGCAAAATTTTCATTAAACTTTTGCTAGTTTTTGTACATTCCTATTTATCTACAAAAAATCGCCAAAATCTTTGCCTTTCGCAAATACAACCCTGTATGAAACTTCCAATTGGAATGTATTGACATTTTGCAAATGGAAACAAATAGAAAAATGAGAGCGTAATTGGAAAGTTGTTTTCAAGAGAACAAAAAGAAGATAAAAGGGAATTCCAAAAGTGACAAAAAAGCTAAAAGTAAACGCAAAAACCTACGCCGCTTATTTCATTTCTAAGTTTTCTCGAGGAAAGAACGAAGTACAAGAATTTAATTGAAAAAGTGTTTTAAAAATACAAAGTGTTATAGAAATTATAAGAAATAAATAGAAAATTGTGAAAATTACTTTCAAATAAAATAAAAAAAGTGTGTGAAAATAATTGTTAAACTATTAAGTGTTTGGATAATTATTATAAATTTGGCAAAAGTTTTAAATAACCAACAAGAAGAATTGCATTTACTACAACAACAACAGGAAAAAGAACAACAAAAACTAAAAATGGCACCCATAAGTAAGTACCAGACAGTTTTTGTAATTTTTCTATTTAAATTTAAAAACATTACCTTGGCTTGATCCTTGTTGCGGCAGGTGGCAAATAAGTGCTGTGGTGGCTTGGGCAGCTTAACCAAAGCTTTAACTATTCCTAGACCAAGACCACGATTACAACCAGTAATTAAAATAGAATTCATTATTTCCGGGTCGTTTTGTTACCAAAGTTCAATTGAATAGAATTGTAGTTTCGCGTATTAAAGTTGTTTTTGTTGCTTTGAAACACGTTGAAAACGATGAATGGAAACAATAGGTTGTTGGTAGGCTTTTTTTTCTTTAGAGGGTTACGCTTGGAGTAAAACTATTACGTGTCTAGCTTTTGATAAACTTATCTAAGAAATAAAAGAAATTGAAAGAATAGTAAAGATTATAATAAAGAAATTAAATGTGTTTTGTTAATTCATAAAGATAAGCAAAATAAATTTTGTAAATCTATTGTTAAAAAAAACTACAAGAAATCTTACAATTTTGATAGAAAAGAAAATAAATTAATGCAAAAACAAATATGTCGGTATTTCTTCCATTTGCAGAGTGGCCAAGTTAGCGTTTTTTTAATATTTCAAAATTCATTTTGTCAGCGTTTTTTAATTACAGTATTCGAAATCAGAATTTTCATTAACTTTTGAAGCTTTAGCAAACATATTGGGCTCCATAGTATAAGTTTCTAAAGTATTAATTGAATCCTCCATTTTAGTCTGTTTGATTCTGCAGTGTCGAAGAAAACATTGCGGCCATTGTTCTGGGTGGCTTTTTCGATTTCTTTGCTCAAATTATCCGTATATTTTTGAAAACGCGCTAGATTGTTACTTTTTATCTTAAGTTCATATTCGCTAATTTTAAGGGAACGTTTATATTGACAAAACTTTTAGCTGACAAGTTCGCAATATTGTGATACATTTTCGAATGCTTGAAGAAGAATCTACTTATTCTTCTGTAATCCTCAAACTTTATTGTCATTCCTGTCTATTAGGTTTTAAAATTTAGTATACAAAAGCCTCAACGGTCCGGCTTTATTATACTAAACGAAAGAGTTCTTACTGAGTTTCGAAGAATTGTCTTGATTAACTTAAAGTGTGTTCTAAATACAAGTTTCTTTTAAAATATTAGTAAACAAAACTTCTGGAGCTGTTGAGATCTATAGCAAGTTGTTGAATTATGTTGCATACCTTTGGCCACATTCTCGAAGATATTCAGGGTACGACATTGATGTTCATATACCATATCCAGTAATATGAACTTTTTGCACAAAATTGAAGCTTATATTTTATATATAGGAGCTTCATTTCTTATTTTTTTCAAAGAATATAATCGATTAACATTTCTTTCAAATATGTAGATGGTTCTTTTATTAATAACTATAAAACTTCCAGAGTTGTTGAAATCCATAGCGAGTAAATTGTTTTGGATAAGTTGCATACTTAAGGCCAGAGAAGCCACTTGCTTTACAGGCATATACCCTAATCGGTGCAGAAAACGAAATTTCATCATTTGTACGGAAAAAAGTAAGTTGTTTTTCGGCGCAAATGTATGAAATTTCATGCCGATTACGGTGTATGTGGAAATGAGCGCTACGACGTTGAAGCCCATTTGCCTTATCCAATAAAAATACATTAACATGAAGTTTTTTCTCAAAATTGGGCACTGATCTCGCGGTGCTTCATATCTTTCAAACTTTAAAAAAAATTTAATGGATGAATGATAAGAAGGCCACTAGGCAAAAAATCAAACGACCTTCTATGCTAAATTGTCCCCAAATTCGACTTTTTATAAAATTTATTTAAATTTATTACTCAAAAAGAGATTTAGTCTGAAAATTGGAATGAATTTGCTGCTTTATGAGGATAATTTCTTAAAAGACTCGAAAATTTATAGAAAATTACGAAATTTTCAAAACATTTTGTGATGTTTAATATGTACTTTAATACTTATTCTAAGGAGTATCAAATAAAATACTAATTTACTCCTCTTTTTAATATCAAACTTCAAATTCTATTATTTCAATCAAAAAAAATATCGAAGGTTTTCTTCACGTCCAAATTTTAAGTGAACAGTGATTTAAATGTTGAATTTGTCTTCCTAATGAATTCTTAGCGTTTTTCTTCACAGTACCCTTTGGCTACAAATAGTTGGCATCACAGTTGTTAACAATTGTTGCTTTTTTTGCATATTTTATTTTGTACTCTTTTTTTTTGCTAGAAACGTTATGTTAATATTCTCTCTTTCTCTTTTATATTAACTTAACATTCCAATGGCATTGTTGTTTCGTGCTTCTTTTTTTTTATTATTTCATCCCCCCGTTCCAAGGCCGACTTCCATTGCAGAGTATAAATGTCAAAACGTTTGGTCAGTTTATAAAGTACGAAAAAAGGAGATTATTTGCATTAAACGCGTTAAAAGTGAAATTATTTAAAATTTAATAACTTTTCCCGATATTAAACACAAATAAATAGTAATTAAGTAGTTTACGATATGGAATTCTCGTGCCTGCATAACATTATACGTTCCTCTAAATGTTCAATTGTTTCAACATCTTCACGTAGCAGATCCTGTACAAATTTCACAAACAAACGTTTTTATGAGCCAACAAAGGGGAGCCGCCACACAAAATCGTAAGTTTTTATTTGGATACGTTTGTTTTTGGAATTGGCAATTATTTAGACAGTTGCAATATTATATAAGAACCTGCTGAAAATTTTCACCAAAATTGGTTTACAATTTTACACATAAATTAAATCTATTTTATACAACATGCCGCGAATTTTGTCAATCATTGTTACTTTTAGAATTTGTTATTTCCGTGATTTCACCATTTTTGCTTATCTTATGTTTTACAATAGAATTTTTTTTATGTAGTATTTATTTACTTTCAAACTAACCTGACTGCCGTTGGTTGGGTTGTGCCTGTCAACTTGTTTCAAACAACACGTACAATTTTAATTTGATTTTTTGCAATTTTATATGAAAAAATAATTGTCTTGTTTTCTTTCTTATCTATGATTATTTCTGCTGTTTTATGAAATTCTTATTGGAAGTTTAATAACATTCCAGTTTCAAAGTTTTTTTTCTCAGCTGTTTGTGTTGTTGAACTATTTAATGTGGAAACAGAGGGTTGCCAGAGAAACTACTTGTTGCTTTTGCCTAATTTAAAGAGGAAAATCTCATGAAAATTTCTACATTTTAATGATTTTTTAAATTATAGAATTGTATGACAAATCTAAAAATAATCCCAAAAAGTAGTTTTTTTCATGCATGAAAGCCCCCTATAGGCCAAATAAAGGTAACATTTATAATTGTGTTCTTTTATCTGCTTGGACTAAGGTATTCCTATGGCATCGCTGTAAGATAGTTGGAAACTAATTAGTTGGTATTTCTAGATTGATTGATCTCTTTGTCTGACAATCAACCCAAAGCTTTCAAACTTTGGCGGTAAAATGTTTTTTTGTTCACAATGAAAACAAATAATACTATTGGAATGATTGATTGTTTTGACATTTCAA